TCCCATAATGCAATCCTGATATAGTACTATATCTGAGCCTTTCATTGTTGCAACAAATTGGCAATCACGTCCAACAGAAAGAGATGGGATAACATCAAAATGATTGAAAGAATAAATCCAAACAAATTGGTGTACATTGGAAGGAGCAATTTGATTGAAGATGGCAAGTTAGATAGGAATCAGTGGTGTCTGGGACACCCTGGCAACTGCACCACAGTGTGAGACAGACTGTGACAAAAAGTCTGAAACGTTACTGCGGAAAGATGAATTTGCTTTCACAGATTGCAAAACCCTTCCCACTCACCCCCTGGTAGCACATATACCAACAGCAACACCAACACAGATGGTTTTAATCCAGCCAGGCAGCGCAGAGTTGTTAATCTAAATAAGAACACTACATCAAAGCAGAGACAGCCTGCCATCAGACATGCACAGCAGTCTGTCATGTGGCTTTTTACCCAGACAAACATACATGCCACCAGGCTAAGGCAACATTGTCTTGTCATCAGCTTGTGAATTATTTAATCAAAGTACACTAAAGAGATAATATTTGTTTTAAAGGTACAGTGGACCCAGCCAGACATGGTAATAATGGTCCAGACAACATTCAGCCATCAAATCAGCATTTTTCAAACTGGCACTGAATGATAAAGAAAAAAGTGCATCTTTGTCAGTTACAACAGCATCTATTCTAACTTACAACTTGAGTGAAACAGTGATAATAAAAAAAGATGATTACTTAACCCACTTCTTCTATTTACCGCTTATTAAAAGTAATTTATTTCACAGCTTTAAACTAACTAAATGTTTACAAATTTTTTCAACAGCTTCACAGCAAAACCATTTTAACAACAGTTTAATAAAGTATGAAAGGTCTGCCTTCTCGGAAAAGCTGCATTCTGTGGATGAACTGTAAAGTTGATCAGGCACTCCATATTAAGGTGCATTTTTTGTCTCACTTCTTTAGCAGACTTTTTCTTCTCAGAGTTGCTGTACAGTGTAAGAAAAACAGTCGGCCCACCGGTGGCTCTAAAACATAAGCACCCCAGCTGCACTGCGCAGAGGGAAATCGATGGCACTGTCCGTGGTGCTGAAACAGCAGATAGTTTTGTTCTTTTCTTGTTGTTTGTAATGTACCTTTTTACTGCTCTGACTTTCGTCTTAAAAAAAATTCTGCTTTTCTAAAACAGATGGCCATGGAGGAGAAAGAGTGCGATGGAGATGTCCAAAAACCCAAAGGAGGGATGAGATTATGTGAAAGCAGAATGACAGGTGTCCAGGTCAGAAATAACTGGAGTTTGGAGTAAGCATGCTTATTTTCTCTGTGTATTGTGTGACAACAAGGGCTGTTGTGATGGAGCCAGACCCCCCTGTTTAAAGATAACAAATCCTCAACTGGCACTTGAGTCATTGTTGATATAGAGAAAATGTCAATGCAATTCAAAATGACGCAATAATTTGATGGGAAAGATCATATATTTTGATGGATAAGTGCATTATCATTGTCATTTCTCCTCATTTGTGAGTTTTAGACAGGGCTGAGGTTTGATCTGGCATTAATCAAAGCAGAGGCAGTGTGCTGTTAAACTGTCCCATTTGCCTTGTCTGCCTCTGTGGCCTCTATGAGTGGGTGGCTGCAAGTGTGATGAAGCAAGAAGCTGCAGTAGCTGCCAGGGGCAAGAAGAGACAGGAAGTGGTCTATCCCAAAGTATAAACAACTCAAAACATTAAGGGAAAAAAACTGAGAAACAATCCACTGCCCAAACTATTTGATTTACTTAGTTTCGATAAGTTAAAAGCCAGCACTTGACTCTCTGACAAGTGCTCTTCCAGCAGCATGTCAAAACTGACAACACATTCCTCTGAAATGCCATTTCTGAGAATGCACAATAAGACACACAAGCCCTCAAATGACTGCAGGGAGTTGTCCTAATTGGCAGTTGTCAGCTGTCAATCAGACATGAAGATTAAAAATAGATTTTGTATTGGTAGAAAATGTGTTTACTGAGCAGACTCTTCAGCCCATCTTGATGAAAATGAAAAAAATAAGGTTGTTAAAGAAAATATGGGGCAATGCTACACAATCCAGGGGTAAATGACAATAATAATAGAACAGCTCAGAATAGCACACTAAAAACACATTTGACATTTTAACTACACATTCAAAGAATAGAAATCACACACCCACAGTAACATACAATAAAGAAGAAAAACATTTTTCAAAACTCATCTCTACAAATGATCATGTGGGACCTAAAGATTTGCAAAAGAGATAGAGATAGAGAGAGAGAGAGAGAGAGAGAGAGATATAATCTATTGGGAGGCTTGAAGCTGCAGAAATGTGGCCGAGAGACTACGATTCTATCTCGCTAATCGGTATCTAATGCATGCAGCTTTAAATCATATTCTAAGGTGTTACTTCAACGATGACGGCTCCCAAAGAGGCTGACAGCTCTAAAATTGTCATTTCACAACTGTTTTGTCATTTTTCATGAAATGTCAAAAGAATTACATTGCGGGCTTCAGCTTGGTGAAGAAGATGTTTGTGGGCTTGTCTTGATTGGGTGCAACGGAAGTCTGGCCTGTCAGGTTTAATTCTACAGGCAATGACTAAATGTGCATGTGAATGTCAAAATATCTTTTGTCAGAGTTGCCAAAAGGGAAAAAAAACGCTTTTTGTGAGAACAGGTATTTTTAATTGCATTGCTCCAAATAGTCAAAGGCTGAATCAGAGCCATTTTGAAAAAAAATGTATAACTGATTTTAATTACCTTTGTCACAATCTTGTTTTTGCCTATCACTGTGATGAAACTTGCTTATCAGCACTGGCAGCAGGTTAAGGGATGCTGATGGGAATAATATTGGTTTTGTTTTTCTGTTAAGGACCAAATGAATTACACTCTATTTCAAATTTCACAATAACCCATCTTGCCTGTTGTAATGTTTGTGTAATGGTTAACTTAATATTAAACTGCAAGTGACTGAGGAAAAAACCCGAGCATCACCCATGTAACAAGGCTTTTATGGCACTTTGGAAAACGGCACCCACCCAGAAGATAGAGTAACACTCTAATCCCTTGGAACAGCATTTTCCGTTGTCAGTGCAGATGCCTGTGATGCTTTACTACAGCTGAGAATGATTGTGCGTTATGATTGAAAACTCTAGAAAAAGAGAGCGAGGTCATTTTTGTCAGTTGACATTTTCAGGGGCGAGAGTGAGAGTTCTCTCTCATCTGGATCTAGATTAAAAGGCCTCAGAGTGCTAAAAAATATACAAGTTTTTAGTTTAAAGACAGTTAAACTTGAAGAAAAGCCATCAAATACTTAAGAGTGGCAACAAATTTTAATTTCTGACTGTGGAAGAACTTACAGACGTAAAAAAGCTGCTGTTTAGTTTCATCTTGTGCAGGTGCAGCACATCACTTCTCGCACTCATTTTGCCCAGTGATTCAATCCAAAACCACAGCAAACAAGCCCCACACTTAGTCACCGCTTTGCTCTCCTTCAAAGCAAAACAGTTGAGATACATCAAGGGGGAGCAAAGAGTCGCTGCTGATGTGCCACAGCACAGACAGAGACGGGAAGTCTTTGGGAGGAGCATCTGGAGTGCGGAGGGGGATGCTGCTCTGATAAAGAGGGGTGGGGGCCGCCCCCAAATCCCTTTTGCATCAGCAGCTCACTAACATCCAGAAAAGGTAGAACATAAGGATTGGTGATGATGGAGATCAAAGAAGATAACTAAAACCCAAAATGGCAAAAGTCCCAGATGGTAATTCATGCAAGAACATGAACAAGAATAACATCGGAATGATAGAGAATCTCTAAATCACCATCTTTCTGTCAGTTTTATCCCAGCAGCTGAGTCAGTTTCTATTAACTCCTGTCGGAGAAGACAGAGAGGCTGTGTGACAGCTGGAGTACAAAGGATGTCAACCTGCTAAAGACATGTAAGCAAACACAGCTGCTGTAGCTGCATACCATATGGACCGTTTGGACTGAGTGCACGGGCTCTTTCTGATCTGCATATAAGTGTATTTGTGTGTCTATGAGTAGAAGGTGGGAGGGGCAAACCAGCTCTTCTCAGCGGTAAATAAAGTTGTGACAGGTTTTCAACTTACGTGAGTCCAGGTCTCTTTGTGGATGCACACACAGCCAACAGTTTTCATCACCGTCTTACCCACTACAGATTTCAATTAAGTGTGGATGCCAGGGGCATCGTATGCAATAGATGAGTCTGTATTTATGAGTGGAGGGCAAGGTCAGAAAAAGAGCTCCTGCCACCTTTGATCATTACCTGTGGTGCTTTCAGGCACTCGTTCATCCATTCACACTCACTCACTGAAAGCATCTCTATCCAATCTGTCTGGTGGGGCTGGGTAAAAGTGAGTGTCAAAAGCATCAGACATGCAATGCACTATGCCACTGGCCCTCGGGTAACCCTGGGAGGGATACTTGCTCTTTTCTGACCTATCACATGGGCAAATGTTAAACGGGGGGGTGGGGAGCAGAAGGGGCTTCTCATTGACATTCCTGCTGGTTTGAAGGGAAATGTGGCAAAAAAGGCTTAACCCATGGGTACTGTCCTATAACCAGAGATGAGTGTGCTGTTCCAAATGGCAAACAAGTCAGATGTTGTCCCCATTTCCAAAGCGCCTCACAGACTAAATGCATCTGTTATTCTGTCTGTCTGTCTGTCTGTCAGTGGAAAGAAAGCACTCCACAGGGAGGCAGCTCTGGTCTCTTTGACATCCGGACAAAAACTAATGACACGATTATTTAACCATTTGCCCCAGTATGACGCTCCAAATCCAATCCATATTAGACCAAACTGTTGTTTAAGATGACTGATATGAATTCTTAGAATTGATTGCCTTTTTTTTTTACTAATATTTTCATAAAAAAGTGGTTTCATTATAATGAAATACATAATAAAAAAGAAAACAATTTGAAAACAACATGTCTGTAAATGTAGATTTAGAAATCTTCTACATGTTACCCACCTATAGTCGACACCACAGTTCCAACAAAATAAAAAGCCCCTGTAAAATCCCATCTCGGCCTGAGAGCGTCCGCCCGGATCCCGGCGGCGATGGCAGCCTCGTACTCCCGCAGGAAGGAGTTGAGCTCGTGCAGGCTGATGTTGAAGGTCTCGCTGAAGTTGAGGAGCGTCCCGTTCCAGCGGCCGTGAGCCGTCAGCTCGGAGGGCCTCTCGATGGCCGAGAAGACCGCAGCGCCGCACAGCAGGTACAGCAGGATGAGGATGGCGAGCAGCGCGAAGCGGCCGTTGTCCTCGTTGAAGTGCAGGGAGCGGCAGCCCTGCAGTCGCTGGCCAGACATCATCCGAATTTCAGCACCTCTTGCGCGTCGGACAGCGACAGGCTCCACATCGAAGACGGCGCTCACAGGTCTGCAGGCATCCTCTGGAAGTCACTGTCCCGCTCCCTCGCTGGACTTAAGGGCAACATTTCCTCCACTCAGCGCACCGTCCTGTCTCATTTGAGTTGTTTGCAGAAGTGGCTAAAAGACAGAAAACACCCACTTGTGGATAGAAGTCTGTGTGAGTTCCCCAGAAAAGCTACGGGTGCGTGTATCACGATCCATACATTCTCTCTTGCAGTTTGTGGCAGTGCAGTTGGTGTGAAGTGGACTGCAGCTCCAATCCAACCGGACGCGCTTCTTTGTGTGAAAGCGAGCAGCACAATCCTCCCGGTCCGCTGCGCTAAAAAATGTTTCCCTCCACAAGATTAAAACGATGCTGGGGATTCTGCAAGTTCCAGATTTGGGGCGTCTCGAGAATGCCTCCGTACCTCCTCTAAAATAAAGTCATATATCCCCGGGCTTGCTGGTTTTGGAGAGAGCGGAGCTTTAGTCTTTGTGTGCACGTTGCGCTGGCACACTGAATCTCACCGCGCATACGGGGAGATCACACTTTCGCTGTAAATCCGAGTAGCAGCGGGATAACGAGTATCCTCGTGCGTTTTCAGCTGAAGCAGTCTTCAAATGACAGGATTTACATTTTGCCTCCAGGGTAGTGGCATGCGCACCGAAGACAATCCTCTCACTAAACTCACTCTTCACCTTGGGCGCAACTGTAGAAATATACTTGTACAAAGTACTTGACATAAGGGCTTTAAAAAGATACAAAAGCCACAGCAATGAGACAGGGGCATGATTATCTAATTATATCCCCGTCTTATTGTTGTGGATAATAGATAATAGATTGATAACCCTCTTTGAATACACATGCTTAAGCATATACTAAATGTTAGAAATCAGAACATCTGGTTAAAGTCATTGTTGTTAAATGGTTATTGATTAAAAAATGTGAATAAACCCCTTACCCATTTCTCACATTGCTGTCTCCGAAGGCAATAGTCAATGGTCAAGTGTTACAGAGGTCAAAAAGGGCTGTCTTTATAATCAAATATAAATAAGAAACCAGCACACTAAAGTAAAGCATCTGATACAATTTGGATTGTATCCACTATATGCAAATAAAACAATAGCACCTTAAGAGCATCACATGGTTATGTGTCCTGTATATATGACCTTGTGTATGTGACACAGTACCATTAAGGAAAATGATTCAAGATAGATGGACATGATCTCACCCACCACCCGTCATTTTCTCTCTTGATTCACAATGAAGGATGACCCATTAAGGTTAGTGAAAGGGAAAAATTTACCTTCTAGGATGTGGCAGTGAGAGCTTTAAGTGCCATCATATCAAAATTTTAGAGATGAAATAGGTGTGGTGCTTGATCATTTACATTTGCTACAGATTTATACTTCACATACTGTAGGTAATGGTCACCTCAACAGAGTGCATCTGAAGCCTCATAAGACTTAAAGTGCTGTTCAGCAAACAGCTAGGATTGACCAAGCAAAAACAAGATAAATGAACACAATGCAGATCAAATCAATATTCACAGGAAAATATGTCAGAAATAAAGTTACAGAAGATATCTTATATGAAGTTTAGCTAATTTTAATACACGTTTAAGGAAGAATGACAACAAAGAGATATTAGTAGAAGAATCAATATGTTAAAGCAACGTGGTGGAGACAGGCAGGCTTTGCTGTTGTAAAGGGAAGTCTGCAGTGGGGCTGCACAGGGTGGTTGTATTGATTATGCTTTCTAATCTAGTTAATTGACTTACAAATATCAGGCAGACTGAAGAACAAGGACACACTTAGAACAATTATCTCAGCCTCACAGTCTGTCCTTGTCAAACCTAATCTGTACCTCTGAATGCAGGAAAGCCTGGGACAAAGATTCAGAATAAGAAGACTGCGATGTGAAGTTGAGTTTGTGGTACTGGCAGGGGGCTTGTAGCTTTATTTCATTATTGTGGGTGCCCTTGGTAGTCACGGCCTTGTACGTCATCCCTTAATGTTAAAACATTTCAAGAAAAAGACAGCAAAAAAATAGAAAACATCAGATCAGTTATTGATCATCAAAAAGAACATCACAGGATGTCAGGTTGTAAAAAAGCTATTGTTTTCTTTGTTTTCGGTTATCTTCTCCATCCACTAATTATTTTTCAGGGTCATGTGAGGGCTGTATACTATCCCAGCATGCACCACCAGAAAAGCAGGAAAAGTCATTACTGGCTCTCAGACACCACTGTTCATACCTCCAAGTCATTTATAGTCTCCTGTCCACCTGGTTGTGGGTAGAAACCGGCATAGAAGAGTTTTAGTTTAGTATTTAGTTTATAGCGGCCGTGTAAATTTCTTTCGTATTGAAAAGCAGTGCACAGAGTAATACATATATATCACATGAATAAAGCAGCTGCAGCATATCCAGCCAACTGTTTGAAGTTTTCATCTCTATATAATCCACAGTGTGCTGCAACAGAGGGATGGATGCAGCTGTTACCATATGTGCAGATAAATAGTTGAACGTAGGAATGTCACTATCACTGTTCGTACACATGAGTATTATCCAAAGATAAATTCAAAGCCACACAATATACTACATAAAATACATTCCACCTGTGTTAAGCTTTGTAGAATCGTATGAACGTTAGTCAGTTAGAGGTCTATTTGTGTTAGTCGGCATGACGTGAAACTGTTTAACAGCTGTTTTGCCTAAATCTCTGTTCAAAATTGGCTGCTCGGTCAGATTTACCTGGTGGTAATGTATCATTTGCTTATGTGGACCTGCTGCTCATGAATGTTGCAAGCCAGGAAAGGTAATTACAATTTGAATTTGCCATAAAGCAATGATTTCTAAATCATTATGTTTATCTGAAAACAACCTGAGGACATACTCAGCTCATTCTTAAACATATAATTGTGTTACAATGTTTGAAATATGATATTAAGATGAAGAGAATCTGAAGAAAAAGAAAAAACAATGATTTGAAATACCATAGGATGGCAAGGATTTTCAGACCTTCACATGGCTCTGCATTAAAAACAGACTGTTCTGCAGCAGAAATCACCTAATGGGCAGAGCAAAACCTCACTGTCAATCTTCATCTCTTCAACCACAAATGCACAGAAAAAGCAGTGTTTAGAATGAGCTCCTTCATCTCTGATTTAATTAAGATGGACTGAGGTGAAGCAGAAAAACTGTCCCGAAGCAGATTATATGAGTAATAATTCTTTACACAATTGTGGCTTGCATTTAATAAAAAGACGTTCATATTTTTTGCAAGATGCCTTACTGTCCTTTATCATTAAGTCGAATAAGCTCAGAATCTTAGTAAGGGAGGACAAATTCACAAGGAATCAGTGAATCGTTTTGGCTGAAATAACTGTATACAGTATGTGGAAGGTTATGGCAGCATTAACCATCACAGACTGCTTGTCATATCAGATAAAGTAAGGCATGATTCACCAGTTAATTTAGCGAAAGGGAAGTGGGTCATTATTTCTTCCCAAAATCTAAATAATTGACCCTCAAGGCTGTTTGAACATTAGTATTCTAGGGTAAAGGAACCACTATTTCAGATGTGTTGACGATGTGTGAAACAGTGAGTGAATTTTGCAGTTTGGCACACCCTTACTGTCCATCACTAAAATTACAGAGAGCATGTGAGGAAGACAGTGAATAGACAATTCTCCAGTGTGCTGCAATGAGAGCTTCTGCAGGGAAATAAGATGAGGAGACGAGGGAGGACACACCTCCATTAATTTATAAAGAAGAGTGAAAAACGTCGGAGGCAGAGTGAGGGATTTCTTTTCTGCCCACAGAGCAGAAATTGCTCCAAATGACTGAAAACATAAAGTGATATCAATCGTTTGTGACATCTGAAAATAGTCCAAACGGTTAATCAGTTAATGATATCCTTTCGTCTGCAGGTTATATATATATTTATATATATAAATATTTATAGATAGAAAGATAGATAGATAGATAGATAGATAGATAGATAGATAGATAGATAGATAGATAGATAGATAGATAGATAGATAGATAGATAGATAGATAGATAGATAGATAGATAGATAGATAGATAGATAGATAGATAGATAAATAGATAGATAGATAGATGTATCTAATATCATAATCATGGTTGAATCATACGACCCTCACATTCTGTGAAATAACTTTAAAGATGCAGGACAGTGCTTGAGGTTGTATTGATTTAAATCCGTGTTGTCAACTTCAATTTGTGCAAACTTGTCCATGACAATGTCAGAAGCATCCTCCAGGAACCTGATTTACCACAGGGGCTTATGTGAGATTTGAAACAAATACCCTCACACACACATGTGTGCCCACTTCGTTTGCTACAATAATTTTAGGTTAAATAGAAAAATATATTTTTCAATCTTCTTCGGCTTTTTCACAAAATACTAACTTTACTGAGTTGAAATACATTTAGCCTTTTAAGTCAAAGCTTAATTTCTAAATATAAACTCTACGATCAGATTTGATCATCTCTCTTTTCTGAATAAACTCTTACAATAAATTCTGATATAAGAACTGACAGATGTATGATGTTTTATATATATGGAGATGATGTTGTGTGATTTAAACATCATATATAACCATATATATATATACAATTTTGTGTCTGCTATACAATAAAAAATCAAATCTTGTGTTTTTATAAGTAGAGTGGTCAAGATTTGATTAACCCAACAGCTCAGCAACATTTTTCCCTGGAAATCCCAGGAAAGTTAAACTATTAATGGAAAGGCAGGTCCAGGGCCTCTGCTTCATAGCAGAACCTCTGCTCCACTGCTGCAAAGGAAATGCTGTAGGCTGTACTCAGCCTCTCAGCTGTGGATCAAGGTGAATCTTGTATAGCAACATGATATCTTCCACCCTGCAGATATCTTGCCTCACTCTTGTGTTGTGGAAAATGTAAATTTATTTTGGT